CCTCTGCCTCCTAAACTCTGGGATTAAAGATGTGAACCATCATGCCTGACTGAAAATAAAATCTTTCAAAAATCAAAATAAGGGGGGAAAGGAATAGGATAGTGGAGACCTCTGGCCTTTTTTTGTCCCCCGTCTTCTTTGACTTTTGAGACAGGGTTTTCCTGTGTAGTTTTGGAGCCTGTCCTAGGACTCACTTCGTAGACCAGGCTCCAGGCTGACCTCAAACTCACAGAGATCCACCTGCCTCTGGAAGAGCAACCAGTGCTCTTAACTTCTGAATATTGTTACAGCATCTGGAGAGGCTGAATTCACAGAGCTGGAGAGAGGGATGGATGGCTCAGCTTTTAAGAGCATCTGTAACTCCAGTTCCAGGAAATCCAATGCCATCTTCTGACCTGCACGGGCACAAAGTATACATGTGGTGCACATACATGCAGGCAGAACAATCATATGCATAAAATAAACCTAAAAATTGTTAAAAGAAATCAAATTCACAATTCAAAGCTTTATCTTGGAGAAAATTGCAGACCAAGATATTTTCCATCAAACATTGACGAAGCACAAGCTCTTTCAGAATATAGGGCATTTTCAGGTCACATTAATGAAGATAGCACCTATGACCCAGGTGGCACCACCTAACATGTCTAATGAGTTCCTAGACCACCATCTCCTCGGATCACAGTAAGCATTGTGTCCTCTGGACACCCATGTGTTAAAGGTTTGCATCCACAAGGTGGTGTTGTTGAGAGGCGGGAACTATGAAGGCCTGCTGAGGGAGGGCGCTCTATCCTGACAAGCTCTCTGACTACCAGGCATTCCTGACACAATGTGCTTCTACACCACAGATTCAAAGCAAAGGGACCAACTGATCATGAAGTAGAACCCCGAACAAAGGAGTCGAGGTTCACCTTTCCTGTTATTCTGTCATCTCTTGCATTTCATCACCATGATGAGATGCTAACCCCACATCTGTAAAAATATTAGCAAATCCTGACTGTGGTTGTAGTTCAATCTAGTGCTTCCCTAAAACATACAGAGCCCTAGGTTACAACCATAACCCTCATAAACTGGGCGTGGGGATACATGTCTATAATTAGTACTTTGGAGGTGGAGGCAGGAAGATCAGGTGTTCAAGGAAAGAGAGGAGGAAGGAAGAAAATAAGGAAGAAGAAGAGGGAGAGAAAGAGAGAAAGAGAGAGAGAGAGAGAGAGAGAAAGAAAGAAAGAGTCTGCAAGATGGTCCATCGGGTAAAGGTGATGCAGCCACGCCTGACAGCCTGAGTTTTGTCCATGGGATCCACATGGTCAAAGAGGAGAACCTTCTCCCTCAAGTTGTTCTCTGACCTTTGCACGCATGCTGTGGCCTGCTCATGCTGTAACAAGGACACACTCTTGTGAGCATACACACACACATGCACACACGCATTAAAAATTTAAAGACAAAGATTAGCAAATCAAATCCAGCAATATATAAAACAATAATATTTCACTCCTTTTGGTTGTTCCAGGAGTGTGTGTTTACATTCAATTTGTGCGACTCGTCCCACTTGCCAGGTGAGGTAGAAAAGGCAGCCCTTAAGTCTTGACCAAGCAAATGAGAGTTCCTCGATCAAAACACAGTTTGGGAATAAAACAAGAGCTTGGCTAGAACTCTTTACACTTATTTTTTGGTTAGGAATAACTTCAGTGGAAGCAGGAGGAATTAAAGGTGAACCTGGGCTACACAATGAGAGTTTCTTTTTCAAAATCTGGGGAGGGTGGGAGTTTGTTTTTAAATGTTTTGGGAACATGGACATGATGGCACATTTAAGAAAAAACTAAGCTCAGAGACCTAAGATTCAGGGACCTCCCTCTCTCTGTCCTGTGCCTATTTCACAATAGGTCTTTGTCATCTTTGCCATTTAGACATCTCTGGCTGCCCCCCCCCCAACCTTTCATCCTGTTAACTCCACATTTTAGCACTAAGTGATATCCCCGGCCTCTCAACGTCCTTCACAAGGGTTTGAGGATTCAAAGGTGCGTGTTCATACCACAGCTGATGTTTCATGAGGACTGCGCTGGTGGGAATAACGAAGTTGTATTTTCAGGCGAATGAGGCTTCTTTACCTACTTTCCCCAACCTCCAGATACGGAGCAGGGATCCTAACATGGTTACTAGGCACCTAACATGGTTGCTAGGCATTACCTGGATGGGGCCATATAGTTCCCTCTTGACCAACTGGGTCCCATTTGACTTTGGAACATTGCCGGACTGAAGATACCAGTTATGATGATAAACAAACACACCCTATCAGCGGGGCAGTCCCTGGCCTGCCATCAGCCCTTTGAAAAGGTTAACAGTTCATGGTCCTCATCACCGCCTACTTCTGATGTGTTTACACACATATGTCATCTGTACTAAAAGGTTCGGGAGCTATTCCGGCTCTCCCAGCTTCACAGATAAGAAATACATGCCCTCCAGAGGATCTGGCTTCTCGGGACACACTTCTTCACTGCTAACCATATTAGAAGGCAGAACTGGCTGGCCCCTACCCTTTCAGCTCTCGCTCTGTGGCATGCATGCCTGTTGTGGAGGTCTCCGTGACTCTCTCCCCCTTGGAATTTGATCAACATGGAATATGGCTCTCCCAATGATCTTCATTGTTCAATCTGCCTTTCCCAACCACGAGCCTAGAAAGAGAATGCCACATTCTGCCATGAATCATCACACTCCTCCACCCATGAAAATTAGGTTAGGGGTGGATTTTCTAGTGTTTGTTTCCTGGAAGCTGCTTTGCACCTCCCTTGGGAGGAAGCGTTTTGTAGTAGGAAATATTTGCCTTCTGGAAGCAGATAAGCCCCATGTCAGCGCCCATTGTCTTAGCTGTATTGCTAGGTTCTCTGAGCCTGATTATTTTCTCTGTAACCTGGGATGATTTTATCTCCTTTGAAGGTTATCGTAAGGGGGGGTCTCAGCGTCTCACCCCAGCATCCTTTCGTCTTCTTTTTCCATGCAGACAATGACCACCAAAATATGAACTAGAATAGATGGGACGATAGATCCCGGGGAAGTAGAAGCCTGTGTGTGTAAATTAGGGGAACCAGCACTTAGAATGTTGAGTTCAGCAGTCCCAAGCTCGAATCCCAGCTCTGTTTGTGACAGCGTCTTGACCTTCACCAGTAAAAATGGATGTGGGACACCGACTCCTAGGGCTTTGTAAGGATTTTTCCAGTAATAAACTCAGTTTGTCTGGCACACAGTAGGTACCTCATAAACAGGGGCTGTTAGATATAGTGGGATATTTACCTTGTCAGCATGGCTGCCGAGCCTTGTCATCCAAGATAAACTTTCATAATTCCTCTTAAAACTTCTCCTTGATCCCATTAAATTTCCCAAAGAACACTTGTAGCCTCCTGTCCACCCACCTGCATGTTCTTCACCCTGCCCAGAATGGGGGACCCACAGAACTAAAAACAAAGTAAGCCTAAATGAATGATTTTGATAAAAAAAAGTTTGAAGCTCCAATATTGTGCGTGCACACATAAGAGAGAAGACATTTGTTAGATTTGGGAATCCTCAAATCCCCGGTCAGTCAAAGCTGCTATTTTTTATTTCAGTATTGAAAATTGAACTTGGAGCCTCACACATGCTAGGCAAGGGATGCTATCACTAAACTATATCCTTATTACTTAAAAAAGGGGGGGGGGGGAGAGGTCTTCCTGTGTAGCCAAGGCTGGCCTTGAACTTTAGATCCTCCTACTTCAGTCTCCCTAGAGAGAGTTCTGGAATTATAGGTGTGCCCTACCCTGCCCAGTTTGGAAACACTGTAACCAATCTGGAAGAAGTGAAGAGATGTAAAGAGACCCTTGTATCTCTCAATCTATCAAATTATTGAGACAATGTACCCCAAAGAAATCAGAGTTTCCTCCGAATCTCATTGGGATTTCTACTTCCCATGTAGATTAGATCTATGTAAGTTTCTCTTAGTGTCCTCATTGTTGTTTAGGTTCTCTGGGATTGTGATTTGTGGGCTGGTTTTCTTTGCTTTATGTTTAAAAACCATTATTGCATTGCTGGTGGGAATGCAAGCTGGTACAGCCCCTTTGGATGTCAGTGTGGCGATTTCTCAGAAAATTAGGAAACAACCTTCCTCAAGACCACTTTTGGGTATATATCCAAAGGATGCTCAATCATGCCACAAGGACATGTGCTCAACTATGTTCATAGCAGCATTGTTTGTCATAGCCAGAACCTGGAAACTTAAATGCCCCTCGACCGAAGAATGGATAAGGAAAATGTGGCACATTTACACAATGGAGTACTAGACAGCAGAAAAAATAACGACATCTTGAATTTTGCAGGCAAATGGATGGAGCTAGAAAATATCATTTTGAAGGAGGTAACCCAGACCCAGAAAGACAATTTTGTGGAGTCTTAACCAGGGTTAAATAACTTGATTTAGGCCCCGCGGCCTCATACTGCAAGTTCTCCCGCCCAGACATCTCCTCAACCCAGCTTTAGATGTTGAGACAGTCCCTCACTCTGTCACCTAGGGTGGTATCGAACTCACGGCAATCCTCCTGCCTCAGCTTTCCAAGTGATGGAATAACAGGCACGAATCATTGTGTTCTCCGTCTACGGTATTTTGTTCTGTCGTGCTTTGGTTTTAATGAGGACAATAAGACCCGTCTTGTTTTGGAGGGGCGGTTGGGACACCCAGAGCACGGACGAATATTCTCCAAAGTGGTGCTGCACTCCGGGAGGACACGGGCCCTGAGTAGGGGAGTACGAATACCCCAACTCCTGCGACAGTTCATCTGCTGAGTGACCCTGAGATGGCACCTGGTGTTCGTGCTGAGGCTGCTCGGGTCGCTGGGGGCGGTCAGGACTCTGCCTGTCGCCCCACCTTTAGCTCTCAGCACTAGCCCAGAGGCCTCAAACACGCCCCCTCCTCCCGGGACCCACGTGACTTCCTGAAAGCCCAGGGCGCCGCCCCTCCCGTCCAGTTTCGATTCCTTCGTTGCTTTCTGAGCACCGCGCGGTGGTGTCTGCCGCTGTCCCTGCGCGTCCCGTCGGGTGCCCCCAGGAGCGCGATGGCAGAGCTGGGTCTTCTGGCCGAGGAGCTGTCGTGCTCCATCTGCCTGGAATCCTTCAAGGAACCCGTCACCACCCCTTGCGGCCACAACTTCTGCAGGTCGTGCTTGGATGAGACATGGATCGTCCAGGGCCCGCCGTACCGATGCCCACAATGCCGCACCGTGTACCAGATGCGCCCGCAGCTGCACAAGAACACGGTGCTGTGCGCAGTGGTGGAGCAGTTCCTGCAAGCCGATCAGGCACGGACGCCGGTGGACGACTGGACGCCCCCTGCCCGCTCCGCCACTTCCAGCTCAGCCCCCCAGGTGGCCTGTGACCACTGCCTGAAGGAGTTCGCGGTGAAGACGTGCCTCGTGTGCATGGCCTCTTTCTGCCAGGAGCACTTGAGACCGCACTTCGACAGTCCCGCCTTCCTGGACCACCCCTTGCAGCCACCCGTCCGTGACCTGCTGCGCCGCAAATGTCCCCAGCACAACCGCCTTCGGGAATTGTTTTGCCCCGAGCATGGCGAGTGCATCTGCCATATCTGCCTGGTAGAGCACAAGACCTGTTCCCCTACACCCTTAAGCCAGGCCAGCGCCGACCTGGAGGTAGGGAATGGCTGGTGCGGGTATAAAGGAAGTCCTGGGCCAGCTAAATTGTGGAGAGGGCCCATCCTGGGTATCTAGTACAGTGGGTTGCGAGGAGATAGGCTTTACTGGGTCAGAGATCCACCCCTTCACCGACCTCGTGGCCCCAGGCTCCTAAGGCCACTGTCTGTAAACTGCAGTAGAGGGCCAGCCCCACTGGCAAATCAGAGAGCCAGGAGGTTATATAGCCTTCCTCTTATCCATTGCCTGCTTTCTCCAGTCCTCTCCTGTCTATTTTATGTAGCAGACAACTGAAGGCACAGATAAGGGTGCCTGCCCCCAAGCCTGTGATTCTCCAGTGGAGTTTAGTAGTTTTGAATATTGACTGTGAACCCTGGGGGTTACCTTCCTCCCCCCACCCCCACTCCCCCCACCCCAGATCCTGGCAGCATGTAAGAACTGTGTGCTAGTTCCTTCCACAGCTCAGGAAAAAACAGTCCCAGAGAGATTAGCTTCGCAGCGCTAAAGCAGTAATTGTCCAAACAATCAGAGCTGGGAACCAAGCTGCTCAGACTTACGGTTCCAGTTTTCATTCCCCTGTAGACCTCCAGACTGATATCCACATCTGTTGAGTCCAGAAGCGTGAGTGCTCTTGGAGGCTGTCAGAAGAAGCATGTGTTGATCAGGGCAGTTCTAACGGACAGGGAGTGTGGGCAGAGTCCTGGGAACCCCTGCATGTGACCTGTTGCGCTGTGGTGTAGCCCGTCTTTTTCTTTTTGAGACGGGGTCTCACTATTACTTATTCCTGGCTGACCTGAAACTCACTCTGTAGACCAGGCTGGCTTCAAACTCAGAAATCCCTCCTGCCTCTGCTTCCCAAATGCTGGGACACAGGCATGTCCTACCATGCCCGGGTAGTGTAGTCATTCTTGCGGTGTGAAACTGAGCAGGGATTTAGCTTCTGGACCTAGGTCCACCTTGCTAAAGACAGGAGGGGTGGGGGTGGGGGTATCAGAGTTCCTGAGGGCCTTCCAGGGTTGTGATGATTTTAGAGGCTTTAGATTTAGAGGCTCCTGTCTTTGCCCTGTGGACTCAGCAGAAGCTGCCCCTCTGCCACATTTGTCAAAGTGTGATCTGATCTCATTTCACTAAATGTCTGAGAAGTTGAGACCTGTCCCAGTGTCCTGAAAGGAATCGTAAGCCTGGGTGAGGTTGGCAGGTTTTGCAGCGGTGCCAGGAATGGGATCCTAGCTCTTCTCCCTTTTACCACAGCCCTTCCCTGACCTTGCCTGCGGCTTAGCCAGGTTCCTCCAGGCGTTTTCCCTTTGAATCTTGGCAGTTGGACCTAAAGGTACAGCTTTTGAGTTCACCTCCTCGGAACCCCCACCCCCGCCCGTGTGTATGGACAACCCCGTGTGGGTATGGACACCCTCGATTCTACCTGTTTTAGAAGAAAGTATGCCTAGCCTTTGGAGCCTGGGGGTCTGCTTTGCCCCACAGGGCTAGCTGTTTGGCTTAAGGCCAGTCACTGCCGATCTCTGGGTAGGTTGGGTCTCCTGGGAAGTACTTCGGAGGCAGAATTCAGTATCGGAAGGCCTGGTGCTCATGAGTCTCCTACCATAGTCGATGCCAAGATCTGGGTTCAAACCCTGACTCCCGCTCGTAGCTTTCAGATGCAAAATGATAAACTGGGGGACACGGTGGTGCTAGTCTCAGGTTATAGTGAACATGGGGTGCAGCAGGCATGGTTCCTCGTGTCTGTAATTTCAGCACGTGGGAGGCGTAAGCAGGGAGATCATCGTGAGTTCGAGGCCAGCTCCAGGGTGAGACTGTCTTAAAACGACAAACAACTGTCGAGATTGCTGAGCTGGTAAAGGAACTTGTCACCAAAGCTATGACAAACAGTTTGATCCCGGGGACCTATATGGTAGAAAGAGAACCAACTCCAGCAAATTGTCCTTCGACTTGGCATCCATGTGCACGTGATCACGCATGTGTGTGGACACACACACATACATAAATGTAATAGGAATTAAGGGAAAAAAACAATAAAAATAAGACAGACAGTAGATGAGGCAGCCTCTGAAAAAACAAATTTTCTGCAAAATCTCCATATTGGTTGCTACCATTTTGTTACTGGGCCTGTGTAGATGAGGCCCCTCATGCTCTGGGAGAGCCACAGACAGGACACACTGTCCTAGTGGTCTCTCTCTCAGTCCAGAGGACTTGCCAGTGATCCCTGCAGTAACCTGGCTTCCAAGGAGGGCGCTTTTAGAAGCACCTATTCACCAGGGCAGGAGGGCCTGCCTAGCCTGGCCTAAGCCTCTGTCCTCTTTCAGCCTGTTTGTCTAGAGCTGGAGCGAGCTGCCGTTCCCACTGTCTTTTTAGTCCTGGTCACAGGATTCCCCTGCCAACCTTATGCCCATGGCTTTTTTGACCTAGCTTCTACCCTTAGTATTTTAATGCCAGCCCCTGACAAGCAAGCACTGCTGTCTTGAGTATCTTGGCTGCTAGTTTGGGGGTGCAGACTCAGGATTCCATTCTCTCCCATGTGGAGAACCCAGGTCCTTGGTCTGTAACAAACTCCCCCAAACTTCAAAGTGTTTTTTTTTAACCTTGGTCAGTGGTCTGTTATCGCCCCCTAAATTCCTTGAGTTGCTTCTCTTTGGTTTGGAGTGGGGTGGAGGGAACAGTTATCTGGTTTGATTAATAGTGGGTAACCCTTTCAGCGGGGAGGGCTCCCCGGGGCAGTTCTGGAAGTGAGGCTGTTGCTGGTGTTCTCAAGTGTCTTCCAGCTTAGGGGAGGCAGGATCTGCCTGGGTTTGTCCTTTGACCCAAATCTATTTCAGCCATTGTTGGAGGCCTGGGGGAAGGGCTGGGTCACCAAGGCTGAGTCAAATATCACTGACCTGGGCTTTCTGGCTAGAGTTTGCGCAGCCTTGATCTCTGTATCCGGCCCTCACATGTGACAGTGGCTGGTTGAAATCCAGTCTCCAGGTCAGGTTCAGCGCCAAGGGACTCTGATGGAATAGAGGAAGCAGGAAAGTAGATGAGAGGGCGAGAGTGTGTTGAGCTAGTTGGTTAGGGGAAGAAAACGTTTGTTTGTTTTCCTAGAAATTCCTAGTATACACAGTTTACGTAGTCTATACGTTTAGTACCAGAACATTAGCTGTACCCGTTACTAATAATGTGGCCTTGGGCTCCTTCGCTGGGTTCCTGGAAACTCCATTGCTTTGTTAGCTCTCCAGCGTCTTGTAGCGAACCTTTCCTTTGACATTTTGTCTGCTTTCATGGGTGTTTGCTGTGGTAGGGCGAGTGACCTCACCCGCCATCACAGAAGCAGCTGTTCCAGATCGTTCTGTCTCTGTGAGTGTGGCCGCTCACCATTGCTTGGATTTCATGAGCTGTAAAATGAGTAGTAGCGGATGAAGTGTGTTGGAATAGAAGCCGACGTTTAGTATGGCCTTAGGCAGATCCAGGCTGTGCTCTGAGCGTGCATCTTGCATTGGTTGTCTTCCTGATAGCCTGTGTAGGCAGACACAGTGGTATCTGTTCAGGGCCAAGGAAATAGGCTGAAGACACATGGCTGGGAAGGGGATTTCAAACAATCATTTTGGTTCCCAGTCTTGGTGTTTCTGTATTGTCTGCCTAAAGGGATAAAGGGGGGGTGGGCACCAAATACAAGAAGCCCAGGATAGGCAGATATCCCGGCGGGATGGTTGGTAAGGATAGCCCCCAGCATGGGGGGCTTGGAGGCTAAAGGGGGGATCTCTCACCATGTGTGTTTCCTCTACAGAACAAACTGAGGCAAAAACTGTCCACCATGCACAGTCACATCAGCGGGGCAACCAGAGCACTGGAGGATGTGAGAGCCAAGCAACAGAGCGTGCACGTGAGTGACTCCCCCACTGCAGCCTGGAAACGCCGGAACACTGTCCACCCTTCAGGGAGGACAGACACAGCTTGGCCGTGGCTGGGAGTGTAGTTCCGTCGGCGGAGTCCTTGTGTAGCTTCCTCGAAGCCTTGGGTTCCACTCTTGCACCACAGGTGCAGGAGAATCAGAAGTTCAAGGTCATCTCTGGTTACTTAGTGATGTCCAGACTAGCCTGGGTGTCTGAGACCTTGTCTTTTGTTTTGGTTTTGTATTTGAGACAGGGTCTTACTACGTCTTCCTGGCTGTCTTGGAACTCACTGTGTGGGCTAGTCTGCCCTCGAACTCACAGAGATCTGTCTGCCTCTGCCTCCTGAGTACTGGAATTAGAGGTGTGCACCCTCATTCTCAGCAAGAAACTCTGTCTTAAAAAAAACAAAAAACAAAAAAACAAAGCTCCAGGTGGTGGTGGTTGTTGTGCACTCGGGAGGGAGAGGCAGGCAGATCTCTATGAGTTTGAGGCCAGACTGAACTACAGGGCAAGTTCCAAGACAGCCAAGAGAAACTCTGTCTCGACAAAAAAACAAACAAAAAATTTTGCATTCAAAAAGCTGCATGTCCAAGAAATGGTCTTTTAAACACAAATTGAAGACTGTCTGTAAGCCCAGCCTTGGGAGAATTATTAAAAATTAAGAATAAGGGGCCTAGAAAGATGACTTAATTCATAAAGGTGATTGTTGTGTAAGTCTGACACCCAAAGATCAATCCTTGGAATTCAAGCCAAGGTGGAAGGAGAGAACTGACACCACAGAGTTGACCTCTGACTTCCAAACTCATGCTGTGGTACACACCTCCACCCCAATAGTAAATAAAAAACTAAGGATAAATAAATAGGCCAGGCTTGGTGGTGCTTGCCTTTAATTCCAGCACCCAGGAAGTAGAGACAGTCAGATCTCTGTGAGCTCTAGGCTAGCCAGGACTATGCAGTGAGACCTAATCTTAGAAGAAGAGGAGGAGAAGGAGAAGAAAAAGAAAGAAAGAAATATGTCTGGGGAGACTCCTTCCAGCTTCAAGAAATTCTGGTCTTCCTTGTCTTGTGGCTGCATCAATCTTTTCCTTCTGTGACTTCGCTTCCATTTATAAGAACTCAAGGCTTACCTGGCTAGCTTAAGATGATCTCTTAATTTAAGTACATTTGCAAAGATCCTTGTTCTAACCGAGGCTATATTCACAGACTCTAGGATGTGGGTGGATATTTTGGCTGTCTGACATTAACTCACAGGATATACAGGAAAAAACACCAAGAAAGAAGTATCATAGGTTCGCAGTGGACATGTTGCCATGTTAAATCAGTGGCAGATTTATTATCCATTTCCCATTAAAAAAAAAAATTAGGGGGCTGGAGAGATGGCTCAGAGGTTAAGAGCACTGACTGCTTTTCCAGAGGACCTGAGTTCAGTTCCCAGCAACCACATGGTGGCTCACAGCCATCTATAATGAGATCTGGTGCCCTCTTCTGGCACGCAGGCATACTTGGAAGGAGGGTTGTATACATAATAAATAAATATTTAAAAAAAAAATTAAACTAGCCAGGCTTGGTGGCTCGAGCCTTTAATCCCAGCGCTTGGGAGGCAGAGGCAGGTCTCTGGGAGTTCAAGGTCAGCTTGGTCTACAAAGCAAGTTCTTGGACAGCCAGGGCTGCTACACAGACAAACCCTGTCTTGAAATTAGTTTATGTGCATGGGTGTTTTTTTTGCCTATTTATATGTGTGTGCCACACTGTGCTTAGTGCCTGTGGAGCCCAGAAGAGTGTGTCAGATCCCCTGGCACTGGAGTTACAGCCTGTCATGAGCCACCATATGGCTGCTGAGAACCAAACTGGGTCCTCTGAAAGAGCAGGCAATGTTCTTAACCACCGAGCCACTTCTCCAATGCCCAGTTTACCTTTCGAGTGAAAGAAAGGAGCTAGATTTTTGAGGATACCGTTGCTGAGCTGCAGCATCGTACCTTTGTTAAAATTCGGGTGCCGATACCAGCTCTATCACCAACTGACCCGTCTGACTTCAGTTGTGTTGGTGGAGATGCAACTTTCAACTTCCCACCGCCATAGCAGAACCACAACTCCTCTGAGGAGTCTGTGAGACCCACGGGGGAGGGGGAGGTAGAATTATGAGCATTGGTTGGAGGGCAGGCTAACCCTAGGATGAGGATACCACCAAGTGCAGGGACTCCAACAAGGTAGTTGGTTGTTTGGTTTAACAGTTGAAGCCCACACCAGAGTAACCCTTGACCTGTAGCGTAGCTTTGCCCCACACAGACATCGTACTGTTCTACTACTCCACAGTGTGATGCTCTCATGTCTTTGATTGAAGATGGATCCCTCTCCCTCTCCCTCTCCCTCTCCCTCCCTCTCTCCCTCCCTCCCTCCCTCCCTCCCTCCCTCTCTCCCTCCCTCCCTCCCTCCCTTCCTCTCTCTCTTTCTGAAAAGCCAAAGACTATCATAGAAACTGGCTGCCGAGGCGGAAGGTACTGAAGAACAAAGAGGCTGGCAGATCCAGGATTTCACAGACTGTAACATGTATTAAGGATTTATTGGCAGAAGGGTTTGTTGTTAGGTAGTGACAAGACAATAGTGTCTCTGTGCCCCAAGGTAGGAGGAAGGGGTTTACGTGCTAAGCTAGGCAAAGGTGGCCCATTGCAAACTGGAATGTACCTAGCTTTTCTATAATAGTAGTAATAATAATAATAATTGTAAACGGACATTTCCTGTCCTAACCACCCACTCCCAAATAACATACTTAGAGGCTGAATATTACCTATAAATGCTCGGTCGATAGCTCAGGCTTGTTACTAGCTAACTTTTACATTTAAATTAACCCATTTCTATTACTCTATGTACTGCAGCATGTCTTGCTTTCTGGGTAACTGGCTGGTGTCCTGACCCCCACCCTCCTTCTTCCCATCAGTCTCAATTTGTTTTTCCTGCCTAACTTCCTGCCCAGCTGCTGGCCTGTCAACTTTTATTAACCCATGAGAGTAAGACATATTCATAGTGTAGAAAAGAATTGTTCCAAGGCAAATAATAATAATAATAATAAACTATTAACATGTCTGTAGGGTTTGGGATTCTGGGTCACCCTTACCTGCTTGCTCTAGCCTGGGAAAAGGGGAACAAGATGGAAGATACCAACAACAAGCAATTTCCTTTTAAGCAATCATTGTGGTGTTACAACATACCACTTCTAGCCTTGCCGCACTGGGAGGAATTTAGCCACCCTGGGCAAACCTAGTTTCAGGGTAGTCTGGGAAATGTTGTCTGAGAAGCTGTGTACCTGCTTGACACTCCTGGGGTGTTCTCTTACAAAGAGCATAGGAGGAAATGAGCACTGAAGGATGCTGGTGTTCACAAGAGGAGGTGGAGCGAAGGGCTGGGTTCAGAGTGGAGGGTCAGTGAAATGGCTCAGTGACTAAAGGTGCTTGAGCTAGTGGAAAAGGAGAACCAGCTCCTGAAATTGTTCTCTGACTTCCTCGGACTGTATGCACACAACAACAACAAAATAATTAATAATTATGCCGGACGGTGGTGGTGAACGCCTTTAATGCCAGCACTCGGGAGACAGAGGCAGGCAGACCTCTGTGAGTTCGAGACCAGCCTGGTCTACAAGAGCTAGTTCCGGGACAGGCACCAAAGCTACAGAGAAACCCTGTCTCAAAAAACAAAACAAACAAAAAAAAAATTTAATGATTAATGTAACAGTTTTTAAAAAGTTAAGTTCCACTCTTTGGGTGTACAGTGTATATTTTTTATTTGTTATGTTTGATTCTGAACTATTGCAGTTACCCAAGAAGTTTGTTCAAAAATATGACTGTTGAAGCAACACTGTCTACCAGAATCATCCCAGGCACCTCTGATTTTTTTTTTTTTTTTTGAGATAGGGTTTCTCTGTATAATAGCCTTAGCTGTCCTGAAACTTGCTTTGTAAACCATGCTGGTCTTGAACTCATAGAGATCCCACCTGCCTTTGCCTCCCAAGTTCTGAGTCTAAAAGCGTGTACCACCATCACCTGTTGGTATCAAGTTTTTACATCTAGTGTCTACTCACGAATCATGACACATTTCCTCTTGTAATTTTTCAAAAGCTCAGAAGCCACATGTAACACTCAAAAGGAGAGTTCTAAGGGAATGACCATCTTTAGGAACTTTTTGAAATTGTTTCATGCCTTCTTTTAAAAATTTACTAGGGGGCTGGAGAGATGGCTCAGAGGTTAAGAGCACTAGCTGCTCTTCCAGAGGTCCCGAGTTCAATTCCCGGCAACCACATGGTGGCTCACAACCATCTGTAATGAGATCTGGCACTGTATCCTGGAAAGTGTATATATAATAAATAAATAAATTAAAAAAAATTTACTAGGAACTGCCTTAAGAAATTAATATCCCAGCCTGGCAGCGGTGGTGCACACCTTTGATCTCAGCACTTGGGAGGCAGAGGCAGGTGGATCTCTGAATTTAAGGCTATCTTGGTCTACATAGAAAGTTCCAGGATAGTCAGGGCTATGCAGACAAACCCTGTCTCGAAAAATAAAAAATAAAAAAAGTTAATATCTGCAGTGTATTTTCACCCCTGTTTCTACCTTATATTTATACCCTATTCAGTTTCAAGGAAGAATCACCATCTTGAATTGTTCATTCCTATATGCATGTCTGTATGCGTGTGCATTCCTTAATAACAAACACCACCACTTCGTTAATGTCTGAGCTTTGTGTGAAAAGAATCATACTGCTTCTTCTGCTTCTGTGTTTTTCCCCGGTGGAGATGGATCTCTCGTTTATTGTTTAATGTTCCGTCCTACGATCAGTTCTCAGTCTTTGCATCGCCTCTCCTATGTTCAGGTTCCCCACCCCCAGATAGTCTTACTCTGTAGCCCAGACACAAACACCTGGGCTCAAGCGACCCTCCTGCCTCAGTCCCCAGAAGAACTGGGACAATAAACATGTACCACTGTGACCTGCTCGCTTTTGCTCTGTCAAACAGTGTTGCTTGTGAACAGTTGTCTCTCCTCCTCCCCCACCCCAGTCTGGAGATGAGGGTCACACGCAGCCCAAGCTGCCCTCAAGTAGGCCATGCAGCCAAGGATGACCTTGAACTTCTGGTCCTCCGGTGTCAGCCTCCCAAGTGCTGGGATTACAGTTGTGAGTCACCGCACCTGGATTTTCTTGTTAATATTTGTTGTTTTTTGTTTTGTTTTGTTTTGTTTTGTTCTTTGAGACTGGGTTTCTTTGTGAAGCCCTGGCCATCCTGGAACTCACTTTGTCGACCAGGCTGACCTCAAACTCGGAGATCCACCTGCCTCTGCCTCCCGGAGTGCTGGAATTAAAGGTGTGTGCTATTACCACCCGGCACTTGTGAACATCCTTCTATGTGCTTCCAGGGCAGGTGCTTAAGAGTATCGTCCTAGGGGGCTGGAGAGATGGCTCAGTGGTTAAGAGCATTGCCTGCTCTTCCAAAGGTCCTGAGTTCAATTCCCAGCAACCACATGGTGGCTCACAACCATCTGTAATAAGGTCTGGTGCCCTCTTCTGGCCTGCAGGAATACATGTAGATAAAATATTGTATACATAATAAATAAATATTTTTTTTTTTTTAAAAAAAGAGTATCGTCCTAGGGATTGGGGTTGCCGGGTCTTGGGGTGTGATCTCCTCCAGGTGGACGGGACATTGCCAAGTGCCATGAAGTGTCATGCCGTTCCTGGTGCCCCCCCCCCCCCCTTGCCGACACCCAGTGTGCAGCCTTAGCATTTCCACCGGTCTAACAGGAGCCCCTTCACCTTGGCCTTGCAGGACTCTATGAGTCATAAGCTGGAACAACTGAGAAAAGAATATGTGGAGATGAAGGCCGTCATTGATTCGGCAGAGACCGGCTCCACACGCAGGCTGAAGGAGGAGGAGAAGAGGGTCTTCGGAAAGTTGGACACCATCTACCAGGTCCTTATCAAGAAGAAGAATGAGATGCAGGACCTGAAGGCAGAGGTTGAGCTCACCTTGGCCAAAGGGGACGAGTTTGAGTTTCTGGAGGTGAGTCGGGCCAAGGCTGCTGTCGTGCGGGTTAGCTTCCCTGAGCTGATAGCAGTTTGAGCCTCACGGAGTTGGGGCTGGAAGTGTCTCGGAGACACGTTCTGTTTCTGTGCTCTGCAGCAGCTCCCCTGAACTGAGGGGCTTTAGAGAAGGGCTGATTATTATCTCATTGGTCCCTTGGCTCAGCATCTGGACATGGCTTCCCCATTGTTGTCAGGGCATCAACAGTCTAGCTACAGGCTAGGCTGTATTGATTTTGGAGCACAGGGTTGTTTTCCAAGTACACCTGGCTGCTATCGGAATTTGAGTTCCTCAGGGCTGTAGGTCAAGTGTACACTTTCTTGCTGGCTGTCTGCTGAGGCTTTCTTTCGACTTGGCAGCTTGTGCTTCCCTCGAGGAAGGCCCAAGTTCCTCTAGTAAGGTCTTTTACCCAGTTAGTATCCTGGACCACGCAGAATAATTGCCCTTTTGATTAATTATTTCAGCTTGTTTGATGTCTTTATTGTCCCTGTGGTGTACCTCCTCTGTTCCTTGTAAGTTTGTTGGGGCAGTAGCATCCTTTCCTGTGCATCTGCCCTGTGCTCAAGGAGATGGATACGGAGGGTATATGTGTAAGAAGAGACTCTTGGGTCCATGTTAGTCCTTCCTCACATGGTCCCTGAAAATGTCTTTCTGAAGCACTGTCTTCCTGCTCTGTCTGGCCCAATGCTTCTTAGCATGGCCCATGAGTGAGGTCCTTGCTATCCGGACAGGCTCTGCACTCTCCCTTCTCCCTGAGTGTAAACACCACGTTGGCCTCATCTTCCCAGTGGATTATGTCCTTTTTCCAGGTCCACCCTCTTGGGTTCCGGTGTTACACATTATTAGTGCTGCAGCGTAATGTCCCACTCCGTCACAGCGCTAATGCTGTCATTTCAGATGTCCTTGTTTTTGTATATCCTTTGGCTGTAAGCCACATCTTGTCACTCCCCCCTTCTCCCTCACTTAGACAGTGCAGGACCCAGATTCCCTGCTCAGTACAGGAGTGATGGAACGTCCTCTGTGCATGATACCTGCTGGTGCCTGGTGAAGGTTTTCTCCTGCCCCTGGGAGCTCATTCCTGTGTCTGAGAACTGAAAAGGATTCAAAGTCCTTGTCTGAGTCCCCTTCATTCCAAAGGACTCAAGTTAGTGAGATAACTTTTTAAGTTTAATGGCATTCCCATCCCGACTCCCATCCCATAGAAGATGTCCTAGATCAACCTTGTATGCCATCAGACATTCCTGACCGTCATTAGGGCTTTATTGGGTTGGAGTGTCCTGTACCACTTGGAAGGAAGGGAGGAGCTCCAGAGACTCTCGTTGGCATAGTTTCTGTGCAAGCCACTTGCCATGTGACCTCTTTATCTGCTTTGTAAGACAAGTGACCTCTGAGGTCCTTCTGGCTCCAGTTGTTTGTTTTTATTTTATTTTTTTAAATTTTTATTGTATGAGTGCTCTGTCTGCATCAGATCCCATTATCGATGGTTGTGAGCCACTATGTGGTTACTGGGAATTGAATTCAGGACCTCTGGAAGAGCAGTTGGCGCTCTTAACCGCTGAGCCATCTCTCCAGCCTCCATCTCTAGTTCTTAAGAAAACACTTCAATTGCTGGTGACCTTGGGCTTGTGATTGAAGCAGTCAGGGACTCGTTGTTGTCGTAGGAGACATCTTGTGGGGTTGATGAGGATGAAGCCCGGCCCTAGCTTCCTTTGAATTGCCTGTCCTTAACACCTTGACTTGTTCCAGAAAGCTGCAAAGTTGCGAGAAGTGTCAACGAAACCAGTCTACATCCCCAAGATTGACCTAGACCACGAGTTGATAAAGGCGGTCTACCAGGGAGCAGTGGACCTCAAGAATGATTTGAAGCGCTCCATCAAGCAGCTCCAGGAGAGGGCTGAGGAGTCCATTGGCCCAGGTAATGACAGTGACCCAACACTCATGTGCCTTAGGGTATGATCCAGATCACTGGGGCGTGAATTTAAAGAGTCTTGAAACTGCATTCTCCATTGGATGTGACTCTGCTTTGTCCTGATGTCACAGCTATCCTTCCAAAAAGAGCTTTAAGGCTTGGTGGTCTGATGAACCCTGGATAGTTTTGAGTGACCCTGGATAGCCAGCCTGTTTGGTGGACGGGGACGGATGGCTAGCTCCAGGATCGGAGAAGCCTCAAGTTCCTCTTTGGCACAACTTTCCCTTTTTTTCCTCCACATCTCAGCCACCATGGTTGTTGCTTTACACATGCCCACCCCGCTGCCACCACTCCGTTCTGGGGACCGATCCCAGTGTGTGCCAGGCAAGCTCTCCACCTCCGGCCTGTACACCCAATCCTTGGTTGTTTGAAGCAAGATCTCTCCATTGGCCCAGACCGTCTGCCACCTCCCAAGTACTAGGATTACAGGTGGCTACCACCACACCTAGCCATCAATTTTTTTCTCTTCTGCCTCTGCCCCCAAGCCCTGTGCAGACACCACCTGCCTGCTGTCTGAGACTATCACCTGTGCTCCGTGACCATGCAAGCTTCCTCCAAAGTCCCCCTGCATCTGCTGCTATCGCCAGGAAGGATTTTTTCAAGATGTAGACGTCACCTTGTTTTCCTCCTAACTCCTTCGGGGGCTTTCCATTGTCCTAAAGTGACAGACCAGACCTTGACCGTCAAGACAGATTAGAAACTGTCCCCCAAGCCCTCACATTTCTCTCTACAGCCTATCTCTCAGTGCCATGCTTCCTGCCACAGGACCTTTGTGTATATCCTCCTGACACACTTGGCTGGGAGCATCACCATTCTTCACCAGCTAATTCCTTTCTGCTGTTTCACTGTATTCTTTGGCTTTGCTGTACTGACAACTGAACCTGCCTTCATACACTAGACAAGTGCTATCTATACCCATGGCCATTTTGAACATTTTTATTTTAAGGCAGGATCTTTTTTTTTTTTTGAAACAAGGTCTCTCTCTCTCTCTCTCTCTCTCTCTCTCTCTCTCTCTCATGTGGCTTTGCCTGTCTTAGAACTTACTATGTAGACAAAGTTGACCTAATGACCTAGAACCCACAGAAATCCCCCTGCCTCTGCCTTCCAAATTCTGGGATTAAAGGTGTGTGCCACCATACCTGGCATCGAGGAAGGATCTTTTAAGTTGCCTAGGCTGGCCTTGAGTTTGCATCCTCCTGCCTCAGGCTACTAAGTAACTGGGTTAAAGGAATTTACCATTAGGCATTTTAGTTTTGCTAGGCATCTGTATTTGTTTCCTGTAGCTGTGATCAAATATCCGGACAAAAGCAACTGAAGAGAGAAAGGGTTTATTTTAGCCGCCAGCCCACATCACAGTCCATCGGGCAGGATGTCAAGGCCGCAGAATGTGAAGCAGCTGGTCACATGACATTTTCAGTCAGAAGAGCAACAAATTGTCTGCACATTAGTGCTCACCTTGATTCCTCCATTTGCAACAGTCCAGCATCCCAATCAGGACAGGTCTTTCCACCTCAGCTAATGCAATCTTGATAACCCTCCGCAGGCGCAGGCATGCTCAAAGGGCCGCCTCCCAGTTGATTCTAGATTCTGCCAAGCTGACGATAGAACATTCGCCCCCACTTTGGGCTTCCTTCTCACTGTGTGGAAATCATTGAGCCATTACATTTGTCTGCCAGGTTCCAGTACCAATATTCTCGCTCCTTTAAAAAGAAAACACATGTATTTATTTTATCTGTATGCATATTGAATGTGTATGCATTTTGTATGTGGACATGTGCACTATGACACGGGCGTTGAGATCAGAGGTCAGCTTGTGGGAGTCAGTTCTCTCCTTCCACTGTGTGGGTCCCGGGGATGGAACTCAGGTTTGGTGGCAAGCTCCTTTACCCACAGAGCCATCCTACCAGCTCCGTTCCCACTCCTTAGAGCAGGATTCATTTCCTCTGGAATCCTTTACATAGGTGCCATTTTCCTGCTCCTGGCGATTCCAGTCCAGCTCCCTCAGAGGTGGTGACCTTCTGTGAAGGGTGGAGCTGTGTTCTGTTGTCAAAAGCTGTCCCGTGCTGTTGCGGAGAGAGGCAGAGAGCCTGAGAGCCTGACTCGCTTGTAAAATCCCTGTTGAATAACAGGTGATGGACTTCTGAAACAGGAACAATGAGGCACCTTTGTGGAAGGTTCTAGAAGTACTTCATATGGGGTAAATCTGTGAGTGACTAACCTGTTGAAGGAGGGAAGAAAGAGCCAGTGGGCAAGAAACTGACATTGGCCTAGTCTCCACTCCACGCCAGACACCTTGACCTCATTCAGGGGTTCCATCAGCCATCATCAAGTTGGAATCTTTGATGGATGACCAAAGAAACCAAATCTTAGAGAAGTCCCGGAATTGGGTGCTGCGGAGGAGACTTCGCCCCAGCTGCCTTTTAAGCCAAAGAGAGAAGGAACAAACAAATTGGTCCTCTTAGCATTTCATTTCTGTCTCTTGCAACTAACTGGCTGGTCAGTGGGCGAGCTGTGTGTCTGTGTGAATGTTCTACCCACAGCCTTGACAAACCTAGCTCTGGGAGTTGGTGGGGAGGAGTCACATACAGCCATCCCCTTTTCTCTGTCACAGGTGACGTGGAAGGTCATGGTACGGAGTCCACATCCAAAACTACGCGCCCTGTGAAGAAGCCCCAACGTAAGTAGCCTCCTCTCATCTCTCTCGTGTCAGTATGACTGTGGCTGACAGGTGAGACCATTCCATCGGCCACTGCGGCTTCTGGACAGTCACAACCCATCCCAAGTCTTTACTGGGGTCTCAACTGGAGAAACGTTCTGTGGCAGGGAACAGGTGGTACAGGGCCAGGCATGCACGCCACTGGGGCAGGGAATGTGACTTTTCCATCTACACTGGCTGTGTGGGATGGTGAAGTCATCAAAGCTGTCATGAGTTTGAGAACTATTTGATATACTCCGAGCGCAGCCAGTAAGTGTGCTCTCTACCCAACCGGCTTTAATGTACAATGTCATTGCACTGTTTCTCCCTCTTTTTAAAAAAATCTTTCCTGGCTTTCAGTGTGTGTGTGTGTGTGTGTGTGTGTGTGTGTGTGTTCAAGTTTGTGTGTGGGAGTGTGGACACATCGTGCATACGTGAAAGTCAGAATTCACCGTTGGGTGTCAGTCATTACCGTCCACCTTGTTTGAGACAGGGTCTCTTGTTTGCCATGGCCTAAGCCAGACAAACTGGCCTGAACATTTCCGGGATTCCCCTATGGCCATCTTGCTGTAAGAATGCCGGGATTTCAGGTGGATGCTACCCCATCAAGCACTGTCTGGGGTCTCAAGATCTGAACTCAGGTCCTCATGCTTGCGTGGCCAGTGCTTTCCCTGCTGAGCCATCTCCCTGGTCTCATGTTTCTCACTATTTTCCCCTCTTGACCTCTCCCACTGAGCCAAAGAAAATGTTTTCCTAATTGTCCCCACCAGTGAAAATTTGATTCTACACATGTACAATATATTGGTTCATTTATAAAAAGAGTAAACAGTAAGCAGGGCATGATGGTACACACTTTTAATCTCCATCTGTGAGTTCAAGGCCTGTCTGGTCTACATAGTGCGTTCTAAGACAGCCAGGGCTCTGTAGAGAAACCCTGTCTCAAAAAAGGAAAAAGAAGAAAGAAAGAAAGAAAGAAAGAAAGAAAGGAAGGAAGGAAAAGAAAAATAGAAGGAAAGAAAGAAAAGACAGAGCACTGTTTGTTTGTTTCAGAGTATCTCTATAGTCCTGGCTGTCCTGGAACTTGCTTTGTAGGCCAGGCTGACCTTGAACTCACAGAGATCTGCCTGCCTCTGCCTTCCAAGTGCTGGGATTAAAGCATAAGCCACCGCCACTACCACCTGGCAGAAGAACACTTTTTCCACCCCATACTTCAAGCATTAGATTTTACCCCTGTTTCCCTCCCCTCATCAGGGATGGCGTCACTGTCAATGGGAATGTGGATGTGGGGCTGGGGAAGAACAGGATGGACCTAGTATAGTATGGCCCCTCACTTTGGAAAATAATAATTGACCCGTGGAATGAAGGCAAGCGAGGTTCCTGTGGGACACACTGCTTGTGAGAACTCTTTTTAACCCTCAAACAAGCAAGCTGGGACTGCTTCCCCAGGGTCAGTGTGAGAAGGCATGGAGGTGCCCGGCTGTTAGTGGTGTCGGGGGATGCAAGAGGACTGTGGGTGAGCTCTACTGCTCGCTGCTTGTTTATAATGTGTGAGTTGTCTTCCGCAAACCACTGCTGAACCTCGGTCTCTGTGGACCAGAACACATGGCGACTGAGCGTGCTCGGAAGAACCCTAGGGAAGGCAGGTGTTTTTTAAGCACTGTGGTAATACTTAACCACGACTATTTTTTCCCTGACTTCCTCTTTTTTTTACTTGCTTTCTTTTGGTAGTAAAATGCAAAGACCCTAAATGTACATTTCAATACATGTTCAACAAATGGGTCCCATCTTACCATTACCCAGATCAACATAAATACTTCCTAGAAAATTCCCATCTCCTCCTAGTCAGTCTATACCCCATGACCCTGGTGGGGTTCCTGTTCTTGTAGATGTGTGTTGCCAGTCACCCCCTTATATTTGAAGTTAGGCCAGCCTTCCTTAGCTTACATGTGGCAAGTGTGTGCTGATGAGTGTTACTATGGTCTTTTATGTATGGCAGTGTGCTTTAAAATTTCTTAATTCTAAAATCTTTCTTTCTTTCTTTCTTTTAGAGGATAAGAAGGCCAAGAAAACCCGTAAGTTGTGCATTTGTTTGTCTTTTTCTCATGACTTGTTTGGGCCTAGAGCTAACATTGAGAGCAACAGATGACCTGCTTTAACAAAGGCTCTGCAGTGGCCCCGTCCTTCCAAATGTATGCTGTGAAGGCAGGCAGGCCTGAGCAGGGAAAGGAGGTCCAGCTGCAAAGGAGTAAGACAGATAAAGAGCCTTAGCTGGACTCACTTGTATGGCCCTGACTGGTCAGACAGTGGGTGGAAGTTGACAGCCACCTTAGAAGGGAGGGGAGGTCATCCAGCCCTCTGTGATGTACTGCTGTTTCACATCTGTCTTCCCTCACCTCTCAGCAACTGTCCCCACTCCCAGCACTCCCTCACCCAACAAGCCCACCTTTGGAGCTCCTGGGCAGTCAACGGATTTTAAAACAACTATCCCTGATGGTGAGTTGTGCCCAAGCACCAAGGAGGTATCTGCCATTTGTCCTGAGTTTGTCTTGAATACCACTCTCTGTTTCCTCTTCTAGCCCCACCCAAAGCCAACACCCCACAGCCAAACTTGACTGCGCTCAAAGCCAAGGTGCTAGAAAACTTCTTAGCCAAGTCTAGAGCCGAGCTTCTGGAGTGTGAGTAGCTTGGCTAGATGGATGGATGGATGCAAGAGTGGGTGGGCATCCGGATGCGTGCATAAATGGGTAGATGGGTGGTTGGGCAGGTAGATGCTAGGTGGGTGGATAAACAGACAGAGGAGTGGGTGGTCCAAGCACCAGCGAGCGGCTAGTTGAATGGGTTGATAGATGATGCGTGTATTTGAGTGGGTGTTTTTAGAGACGAATGGTCAGTTGGATGGATGGGTGGATGGGTAGCTGGATAGGTGTGTGTATGAGTGAGTAGATGGAGAAGGTGGATGGGTAGTTGGGTGGGTGGATGGGTAGCTGGATAGGTGTGTGTATGAGTGGGTAGATGGGGAAGGTGGATGGTTAGTTGGATGGATGGGTGGCTGGGTAGCTGGATAGGTGTGTGTATGAGTGGGTAGATGGGAAAGATGGATGGTTAGTTGGATGGATGGGTGGATGGGTAGCTGAATAGGTGTGTGTATGAGTGGGTAGATGGGAAAGATGGATGGTTAGATGAGTGGGTAGATGGGGAAGGTGGATGGGTAGTTGGGTAGGTGGATGGGTAGCTGGATAGGAGTGTGTATGAGTGGGTAGATGGGGAAGGTGGATGGGTAGTTGGATGGATGGGTGGATGGGTAGCTGGATAGGAGTGTGTATGAGTGGGTAGATGGGGAAGGTGGATGGGTAGTTGGATGGGTGAATGGGTGGGTGGTGTGTGAGTAGATGGATGGGTAAGTGGATCTGTGGATGGGTAGTTAAAAAGGCGGATGGGTAAAATAACTATAGATAGAGAAAGCTTTAAAAGTGAAAGTACTTTGGGCCTCCTGCCATTGATTCCCTGGGGGGGGGGGTGTTTTCTCAGATGCCGTTAAAGTCATCTTCGACTACAACACTGCCCACAACAAGGTGGCCCTGACAGACAACTACACCACCGCTTCTGTGGCCGAGGGTCTTCAGCACTACCGCTCCCATCCCCAGAGGTTCACCTACTGTTCTCAGGTCCTGGGGCTGCACTGCTATAAGAAGGGCATTCACTACTGGGAGGTGGAGCTGCAGAAGAACAACTTCTGCGGTGTAGGCATCTGCTACGGCAGCATGGAGCGGCAGGGCCCCGAGAGCCGGCTGGGCCGGAACGCCAACTCGTGGTGTGTGGAATGGTTCAATAACAAGATCTCGGCCTGGCACAACAACGTGGAGAAAACTCTGCCCTCCACCAAGGCCACGCGGGTCGGTGTACTTCTCAACTGTGACCACGGCTTTGTCATTTTCTTTGCTGTCACTGAAAAGGTCTGCCTGATGTATAAGTACAAGGTGGACTTTACTGAAGCCCTGTACCCAGCCTTTTGGGTCTTCTCTGCGGGTACCAAGCTTTCCATTTGCTCTTCCAAGTAGGCAAGCCGCTAGGCCAGGCTCGGCCTCAGACACTTGGACTTGCTGAGAATCACTCAAGACTGGTCAAAACACCGTAGAAGGGATTCTCCTAGGAGAATTTCTGAGTCCCCAACAGATAGGAGATTTGGCGGGGACCTGGGGAAGAGGCTGAGAGAATAAAAAACGGGGAGATTTGGCTCAGAAAGGGGTGGGGTGATTGTCTTGTGGGTGGGGAAGCATATCTACCTCCCGGTGCCCCTGAGGACAGGGTGACCCCCCCTCCCAGTGTTCTGGGAAATCTCTCAGGCTGCTAGCCACTTGGGCAGAGCTTCAGAGCACTAAATCGTTAGTGCTCCTGTTGTCTTTTTTTTTTCTTCGAGACAGGGTTTCTCTGTAGCTTTCGAGCCTGTCCTGGAACTAGCTCTTGTAGACCAGGCTGGTCTCCAACTCACAGAGATCTGCCTGCCTCTGTCTCCCGAGTGCTGGGATTAAAGGCGTGCGCCACCACATTTTCTTTCAGGTGATGGATGTCTACTTTTTGGGTTAGCCTTCAGACCTTCGTGTTTTGATTATGCTCTAGATTTAAAAAAAAACAAACAAACAAACCAGGTGTAGTGGTCGAGGCTTCTAGTTCCAGCACTTGGGAAGCAGAGACAGGTGGATCTTTATGAATTCGAGACCAGCTTGGTCTACATAGTGAGTTTCAGGACAGCTGAAGCTACATAGTGTGACCCTGTCTCAAAAACAGACAAACCAAACAAAAAACAAGCGAACATCCAGTTTTTGGGATCAGCATGTATATTATCTCTTTGGCACCAGGTATTGAATCTCAGACCTTGATATGCTCTACTTCTGAGCCTAATCCCTACTCTGAGTTTCCATATCTTTCTTCCTCCTGGGAATCTTTTGTAGGTAAGGCTTCAAACTCTGATCTGAATCAGCTTGTATCAATGAACTCTGATCTGGTTGGGATGGAATCTCTCCCTCTCCCAAGGGCATCTCACCAGGGACATGTTGACTGTTTCCATAGAGCTGGAGGCCTTTCTTCCCATAGCCTGTGCTGGGAGTGGGGGTGGGGAGGCAGAACCCTGGCTGGATTCACGGGAGCCTGACGGCTTTAATCTTACTCATGTTTTGCCTTGATTGCTGACTTCAGCAGTAATGTCCCCTTCCTCCGGGTTGTAGATACTGGGCTGTGGCTGTGCATGTCACCCTTTGTTAAGTGACCAGCCACACCTCATTCCCATACCCTACCGTCATGTAGATGGTATGCATGTGGTTGCTTTGGGAGCCATGAGACATCACCCACTGAAGTGACTCAGGGGCCTGAAGGACCTGTGGGAGACAGCCATTTTCCTGTTTTTCCCTTAGCCACAGACGGTAGGCCCAGTGCTGAGTCCAAGACCCCTCACCTAACGTGGACCATTCTGCTGTCTTCCTCATTTGAGCCAATTCCAGATGCTCATAGAGACCAAACTATAGGTTAGGAAGACCTTTCAGGATAAGAAAAAAAAAAAACAAGGAGGGTCCAGCCGGTGGCTGTTTTCTCTGCGGTCTTTCATGCAATGAAAATAGCCCCGGCCACTAAAGGGCAGGGATGGATGACCGAAATCTCCCCTCCCTCCTTCTGTACTGACGTCAAATCCAGAACCTGTGAGGATTTGGCTTCTTGTGACAGGAGTCTAGCTCTCTTTTCTATGTGGGGAGCTCCCTCTTGTAAGCCTTCCTATGAAGAGAGGTCACTTTGTGGGAAGGAAGGGCCCCTAGACCTTTCATATGGATGGATACTTGAGAACATAGCACATCTCAGATCTAGTAATGGAATTCCAGGGCTCTCAGCATTGGCATTCCTGACAGATGTGTGACCTGTGTTCTCTCCCAGCGGAATGTTCTGTTCCCTGGGAACGTCTTTGCAGAGGCCATGTCCCTGTACATGATATGTGGCCTTTGAAACGTTTTTTTTTTTTTTTGTTTTGTTTTTGTTTGTCTTTGCTACACAAATTCTTGGTGATCCTTCTCTGAATTTGAAGATGTCTAAATGCATCTTCACCGATCTTCTGAAACAAAGCCTGTTTGCAACCAAGTCAGTCTTGGGAAACATCTAGGTTTAGAGAAGTAGAATGCCAAGGGTTCACTGAGGGGTCCTGCTTGGGCTCTCCTGCAGAAATGAGACCAGCAGTCAAGATTCTTCCCAGGTAGTGTGCAGCTCAGGCCTGAAAGACATGTGTCCCTCTGTTTATGAGAGTCAGGCAGGCCACCAAAGCCCAGAGCTGTTCGAGGTGCTTTGGAGTTGTAAGTGGAGGAGTGTACCCTTGCTGTCTGGTACCTTTCTGTTTGCAATGGCAAGACCTCACCTTCACCGCAGCCATTTCTGTAATCCTGTACCTCAGGGTCCTGGAATGGACAGAAGCTGTGTATTCATCTCACCCTTGTATAGAATCGGGCAGGTGGGAAGGTGGAGGATGGATGGCTCTGGTCACCGCTCTTGTCATTCCAGCATGGTAGAGATGCTTAGCATGGGTGACAGGAAGACCCCAGGGTCCTGTAGACATACAGAACTTGCCAGAAATGTTGATGTAAAATCCTAGGTGGGTGCTGTCTCGGTCATTCCGGCATGATAAACTAAAGGCCAAGTCTTCGTATTATTCAGGACTGGCTGACTAGTCTTTTTAATTACTTGGAGATTGATTTTCAATCTGTTACTAATATCGATGTTATCTTTTACACCATTTACTTCTCTCTATTGATTTTAGTTAATCACTAATGTTTTAGCTGATGACTTCTTGAACGTAGTGTTTTAGAGGCGATTCATTACCGAGATAATCATCATAAACAGGGCAAGGCTGGCCGTTCCTCACTCTGAATGCAGTGTAGTAGAATTCTGTGTCCCCTGGGGATTGAGGTGTGGGGGGGGGGAGAAATGGTCCCTTACTCTGAAATCCACTGATGAGGTACCCACCCCCTGAAAGCTACTGCCCAGCCCCTCTGAGTGCTCAGGCTCCACTCCAGATCTCTTGAAGCCTACCATAGTGTAGCGACGATTGCAGGGAACTTTGGGGAAATAATACTCAGAGAGAGGGTGTGGGGGCTTTGCTTCAAGATAATGTCAAGGTGGAACATTGTTGAAAAGTAAGCCCCGTTTAAGTAACCAACAAGGAGAGTTGGGAACCCAGGGCTCATTTTCTTAATCTTCCTACTGTTGTTGCATAGGCTTGAACATTTCTGTCGTGAAAAGTTAAATAGCAAAATGCAAAACAGGCCAGACCAGAAGATGGACCCCGTTCATGATCTTTGCTACAGAGGTATGGGTGTCTCAGGAAATGCTGGCTATTAAAGCATTTGGCTGGCCTTTGTCCCTGGTTTGGGGGCATGTGTTGGGGGTGTTAGTTAAGTCCTTGGAATTTCCTGAGAGGATGGACGGTCATTGTTATTTGCCTGCCTGGTGGGAGATGACCGAGGGTGGCAGCTGGCCGATATGAAGACCAGTTTGGTGATTGATTAGAGGGTTGAGGCATTGAGCTTGAAGGACCCCTCTAGGGGAGAAGAGAGAACTGGGGATTGAGGTGAGTCCAAGACCTCTGGGAATCCTGCCGGTAAATGATGGTTCAAATCCAGCCGTGGTGGAGACCTAGTGTAATTTCTCTGCAGATGGGCACACACAGGGCTGCGCTTCATTCAGGCTGATGCACTCTTGTCCTAGGGTGGCCGGGCAAGGAAGCTCTGTGCTCCAGACCCTTCCAGACCTTGCCCTGTTTGTGTTTCTATGTTACTCCTTGTGATTCTTTTCTTTCTAATAAAGTTAAAATCATAAATACAGTACTGTCCTGTCTTCTGTGAATTCTAGCAAATGACAAACGGTAGGCAGGTCACAGCCATTCCGGGGATTTACAGTTAGTCAGCATTGTGTGGAGCCCGAGGCCACCAAAGTGATGCTGGTGTCTGAGGCCAGGCACCACAGTGGGGGACTGGGTCCCTTAACTTGGGGTGCCACATCTAACTCTTGGTGGCTGGCCTGGCCACTGTGTGCGGGACAGCAGTTGCTATTGGGACAGAGGTGATGGGACCTGCAAGCTTTGAATAAGCCCTGCTGGGCAGCCTGTCACACACAACACACATTCTTTTTTGTTGTTGTTGTTTCTCAAGACAGGGTTTCTCTGTGTAACAGTCCTGAATGTCCTGGAACTCGCTTTGTGGACCAGGCTGGCCTTAAACTCACTGAGATCTGCCTACCTCTGCCTCCCAAGTTCTGGGATTCAAGGTGTGTGCCAACACGGCCCTGCTGAAACACACACACATACACGTCCTTTTTAACAAACTGCCTCAATCTTCGATTTGTTTTGTATTTTCCCTGGGAATACCCACAATGTCAGTTAGAGACTCTTCGGAGATTCCACTTTGTTGTCATTTAGATAAAAGTCAGAATGGCAATTTAGTCGAGGCAAGCCATGCATGTGAGTGTGGGAATGTGCCCTGTGAGTGCAGGTGCCCCCTTGAAGTCTAGAAGAGGTCTGGGGTGACTATGAGCCCCACTAACCAGGTGCAGGGGAGAGGAGGCAGAAGCCCAACCGCTGAGCTAGCTCTAACAGAATTTCATTTAACCCAGGCTTGATTCACTGTGAAGCCGAGAGTGACCTTAAATTCCTGATCCTCCTGCTTCCACCTCCCAAAGTTTTCTGTGGTCTAATGGAGAGACTCCTGGCCGAGACTGTGTTGTGGTGAAAATAAGCGTATGTGAAAATGAAGGTTGAAGTTAGCTTTACTACATGTGGGAACATGGGGGAGGGTGTGAGACAGCCAAGCTGATAAGAGGAAGGACAGGCTTTGGGGGAAAAACAAGGCTGGTCTTGGCAGCTCCAGCAGCCTGGGGAAGCCCCACAACCTGCGCTAGTCACTTTCACCATGCCCCATTCTCCCCTAAGTCCTGGAATTGCGACAGATGGAACTGGGTGTAAAAACACCTTCTAAAAGGCCAGGCGATGGTGGCGCACGCCTTTAATCCCAGCACTCGGGAGGCAGAGGCAGGCGGATCTCTGTGAGTTCGAGATCAACCTGGTCTCAAAAAAAAAAAATTGCCAGGCAGTGTTGGTGCGTGCCTTTAATCCCAGCACTTGGGGGGCAGAGGCAGGTGGACCTCTATGAGTTCAAGGCCAGCCTGGTCCACCGAGTGAGTTCCCGGACAGCCAGGGCTCACAGTGAAACCTTGTCTCGAGAAACAAAACAAAACAACAACAAAAGCACAGGAACTAAGTTCATAAGATACAAAAATTAATCAATGATTCTTTATCAGAACAAAGACCAATCTCTTTGGGCAGCTCATAAAAGCCTGTAACCCCAGTTCGAAAGAATCTGAAGCCCTTGTCTGGCTTCTCAGGGTACCTGCATGGACCTACACACAGCTGTATAGACACAGATGTATGAGCATATGCACATAAATTAAAAATCCCTCTAGTTTCTTTGTAGCTTTGGAGCCTGTCCTGGAACTAGCTCTTGTAGACCAGGCTGGCCTAGAACTCACAGAGATCCGCCTGCCTCTGCCTCCTGAGTGTTGGGATAAAAGGCGCACGCCACCACCACCCAGGTTTGTTTTTCTAAAAATAATTTATTTATTTTATGTACATCAACGTTTTGCCTACATGTATGTCTGTGTGAGGGTGTCAAATCTTAGAGTTACAAACAATTATGAGTTGCCACACGGGTGTTGGGAATTGAACTCGGGGCCTTCTGGAAGAGCAGTCAGTGCTCTTAACCACTGAGCCATTTCTCCAACACTAATTTTTTTTTTTTTTAAATAAAAGGTTGACAGCAATTTCTGTTGTGGTTTTCTCTTGAGGAACAAACACACTCCTAAATTTACTAAAGAAGTAGAATGTGCCAGCTGTGCGGTCTTGCAGGGAGTAACACTCCAGGAAACGTAAACAGAAAGGTTGGGCTGGTCTCGGATGGCTGTGACTGCTGAGTAACTTTGAACTTTGTCCTCTGATCCCAGCAGCACCTGCTGGGTGGGCCAGTTTCTAGTTCCCAATTTCTTTCCCGTTTTGAGTGACTCAGACGGAGTCTGACTGCTTACTAGGCTTTGAGACTGATTTCTTAAAGGCACACTCTAGCCGTGCAGGGTGGTGAGGCCTCATCTGTCCCTTGTCTGGAAGGCAGCCAGCCAATCAGTAGGTCTGGATGGCACTGTTAGGAGCCAGCAGTCTATCCTGGGGGGAAAAGGGGGAATTTTAGAAGTGAGAGCTCCCAGTTTCTGGAGACTAAAAGTGGGTCAGAAGTCATGGCTAGGGTCCATTTTGCTACTGTCCTGTCCCCTGTCGTTCCCCACTGCATCACCCCCCACCCTCACCCTGGCTATATTGGTGTTTGGAACTAGGGCCTTGAACATGTTAGGCTAGCATACTCCAACTAGTGAATGACATCCCCAGGTCTGTTTTATTTTTGAAGCAGAGTCTCACTGATTTTTTTTAGGCAGGCCTTAAACTCAGTCCGTAGCCCAGGCAGGCCTTGGACTTGTGAACTTCCTCCCTCAGCTTCCAGAACAGCAGGCACGACAGGCCTATGTCACTGGACCTGATTCTTCGTTTTATATTTTGGATTTCTCCCTTCCCATCAGGTAACCCCTTCTCTCTACTGCTAATGATGGCTGTGGTGTGTTGGGTAAGAACGGACCCCATAGGCTCATATATTTGAATGCTTAATTATCCGGGAGTGGTTTGAAAGGGTTAGAAAGGTTAGGAACTGTGTCCTGGCTGGAGGAGGTGTGTCACTGGGGGTGGGCTTTGAGATTTCAAAAGAGCCCACACTGCTACTATTAGGCTCCACCCCCTTTCTCTCTTTCCTTCTCCCCCTCCCTCCCTCCCTCCCTCCCTCCCTCCCTCTCTCCCTCCCTCCCATCCTCCCTCCCTCCCTCCCTCTCTCCCTCCCTCCCTCCCTCCCTTCTTCTTTCCCTCCCCCTCCTCTGTTCGCAGATCAGGATTCAGCTCTCAGCTTCTGTTCCAATGCCATGCTTGGCGCCATGTTTGCTTCCGTGCTTCCTGTCACGATGATAATGGACTGACCCCGTGAAACTGTAAGCAAGCCCCCAATTAAATGCTTTCTTTCATAAAGGGTGCCATGGTCATGGTGTCTCTTCACAGCCAGAGAACAGGGACTAAGACAATGATCCTCTATTCCTTCTTAAAGCAACATCACTCAGAGGAAATCCCGGCTCTCACAGCTCACTGTCAGCTGCTCTCTTTAGAACAGCTGCTTCTCCATGTCCTGCCTGCCAGGCCCAGCCTTTGTGGGTCCCTGCTGTGAATTCTGCCTTTGCCTCCCCTCATACAATGCCACTGCTGCCTCACAGCATCAGAAGGGTGACTTTCTCATCCAGTAAGTTTGTCTGGAGGACTGCCATGTGCCAGGCATTATAACCATGCTAGTGAAAAAGCAGCCCAGGTCCGTGTCTGGGGGTAGGGTGGGGTTCTGTATCCTACAGGGAGGTGTAGGGAAAGGTGGCTGTAAAGAAAACAGGCCAGACCGTAGCATAATAAATAGACGTGTGCTGCTCTAGCTAAGGCCCTGTGGACGACCCCTTTGCTGGGGTGAGTTCTTGAGTCCCCAGAAGGCAAAGCTGTGGGAGAACATGAGGGTTTGGAAGTGAGGTGTGTATGTGTGTGTGTGTGTGTGTGTGTGTGTGTGTGGTGTGTTTAAATCCTGAGCTGTGGACTGGAGAGATGGTTCATCTGTTAAGAGTACTTCCTAAAAAAAAAAAAAAAAAGAGTACTTCCTGTTCTTGTAGAGGATGGGACATTTAGTTCCCAGTGCCCACACCCTGCAGCACACAAGTGCCTGTGACTCCAGCTCCAGGGGATCCACCCGGTACTCTCTTGTGGCCTTCAGGGATGACTGTGCTCATACGACATACTCCCTCACACCCATCCACTCCTGTGCAAACATAAAATCATCGTCATCGTCACCTTTAACACTTGTGCTGAGGATGGCGGTTCATAATCGAAATCGCAGCACTCCTCCGGCTGACATGGGGGTCCTGAGTCAAGGCCAGCCTGAGTTCATGGTGAGATCCTGTTTTAAACACTACCAATACCCTCACGCTAAGTATGACTCTACCCAGAGTCCTAAGAGAGAAGAGAAGTTAAGGTCCTCCCCGGCGTAGCCAGCCCATCTACTGTTGGGGAGAGCACTGCCTTCAGTTTCTCCTGGAGAAAAATCGTCCCTCTCTAGGTGTCTGCTTTACCCATAGGGATCGTTCTTGCTGAGGATTTACAGCCCTCCACACCGTCAAGGCCTTTCCCAAGGCCTCTCAGAGCCCCTGGGAGCAAATCCCCACTGTTTAGAGCTTCAGAGATTCTGGGGGCTACAGCAGTGACACCCTCTCCACCCACATTACCCACTGGTGTCACAGCGTCTGAGAACTGCACTTATCAGATTTTGTAAGTGTCACATATGGCTCCTCTGAGGTCTCTTTGAGGTGAGGGAAGAGCCTTTGTCCTGACCATGGCTCCTTGCTGGTTGATGTTCGCGACTCCTTGGTGCGTACCCAACCGAATTTTGCTTTCTTTTATTGGTCATCATTAATAACCTGAGCTGTCACCTCCACCACTGAGGGGGAGTCTTCTCCACTGCTGTTCTTACTGTACCGCTGTGATCCCCCCCCCTAGATTAATAGTGTACCTGGTAACGCATTTCCTCTTTCTGCTGTTTTGTGTTCTCAGTCACCACCCAGCACTCTCCATACACATGGTGCCAGGATACTGCTCACGGCAGTGCGCCCATCTTTCTTTTTTAGTTATTATGTTATGTGTATCCCTGTTTTAG